GAAGCGTTAGCCCACTAGGCGGCGAGCGGTTGAAATAAATCGTTGGCGGGACTGATTTGCTACCGGACGAACAAAGGCAATGCTGGATACTAAAGAAAACGAGCCGCAAATCCCCAAGATGACAATTTCAGAACTACGTAGACCTAAGACACGAAGGTTGACTCTTGCAAAGGGGAAGACTTACAACCTGACAGAGACCAAGGCAACACCGGACAGAGGGACAGACACAATGCCGGCCGCTCCGGAGCAGGAAATAGACCTTCGTATGTTGGACAAGGATGAGGCGCCCCTCGAAGCGGGTGAAGACACTCTCGGCCAGGACGAGTCCACGTCAAACACTGTTGACCCGACCACGGCCTGGAAGTTGGAAATGGCACAATTTTTTCAACAAATGCGGTGCGACCAGAAAGGAAGTACAGGCGAAACGAAGAAAGGGGCTGATCTCATATTACAGTCGAGGATGGCAGCAACCGAAGCGGGACCAGATATGCGGACCTTCCTGACCCTGGCGGAGCGGGAATTTCGGGAAATGGGAATTGCGGAGGCTCAATGGGGAGTACTGATACGCAAATACCTAACAGGTCGCGCCGCTACACAGTGGAATTTCGTAGTTAGGTCCGGCATAGATATGACAGACTGGCAACTGGTGTGCGAAAGACTTTGCGAAAGGTTCCTCGGGTATACGCGGGACGTCATGTTAAGCCAGATGAAAGAAAACGAGTGGACTGGCGATTACAACGAATATTGCAACGAGTTCTCAGACATAGTAACCAATGGAGAAGAACTGCCCGAACACGACCTGATTATGTACTTCCTCGCCGGATTACCCATGGATATCGGAGACGAGCTGACCGACAAAGGCAAGCGGAAATTTTCGACGTGGAACGAGGCTGCAAATGCGCTGAGATCGTACATGGTTCCATTCAATTTGTGGAGGGCACAGAGAAAACGTGCGCTACAGGAGCTGCAGGGCGCAGAGAAGCCGAGATCTAAGCGTGGGAGTTACTTCAGGGAATACGGAGAGGGGAACAGACATCACAACGAGGCCGTCCACGGCGTCAATCGTAA